GGTCTGTATGTGGGATCCGAACCCTCGGGCGGGAGCACCGCCGCGCTTCCCAAGCGGCGCACTATCCAGTGCGCCACCGGGCCGGCCCCATCAATGTTTGAACACACCTGTAGTTTAATAACTTGAATAGCTTTATAAGGATTAACAGGGAAAACAACAGCCCTTCTACTCCCTCACTTTCTCTTCCCTGAGATAATTACGTTAAACTCTTTAGACGTGTCTTTTGGAGTTTACCTCTGTGTCTGTTCACAAGAACATACTATTTTTGGAACTTACTTTTTATTATTTAACAATCTATAATGAATAACCTTCTATGTCATTAAATATTCTACAGTATTTTTTAATGGCCTCAGAGAATGTGATTGTTTGAACACAATCCCCTACTCTTGGCCATTTAGGCTGTTTGTAATTTTTCACTCTTATAGATAAGATTTAAATAAAAAATCTTTTCCTGTTAAATTTTTGTACTTGTCCCTGATTATTTACTAGAATAAATATCAGAAGGGAGATTGCAGCGTTAAAGGATTCTGAGTATTTTGATACCTATTGCCAAATTATTTTTTTGAAATCCTATTATACCACTCTCACCAGGGGCAGTTCCAGGTTCTTGGTCTATCCATGAAAAAAAAATCATTCACGGCACCAGCGAAAGGAAGAGACGGACAGAGACATGGAGCATAGTAGGGCTTTATTACAAAGCGAAAGTACACGGGGAAATAGTACACGGGCGACACACGGGGGAGAAATGCACGCGCCCAGATTCTTAACGGGAAGGTTTTTATATGTTGTTCTGCGGCTGGGGTGTTTCTCTGGCCTAACTGGGAGGAGGAATATTCGGCCATGGGGGAGCATCTATGGCAATTAAGGCCTAACCGGTTGACACAAGGTTGCATCAGCTTCCTGTTAAGTGTCAGTGAGCTTTTGAAGTTTTGGGTCATGCCCAGTAGAGTCACTTGCTTTGCGAGTGGAAGGCCAAGATGTCGCTTGTCTGCATTTTTGTTCCTCCTAGTGTGCAGATGCTGGCTGATCCGGTCTGAGTAGTTATGAGCAGCCTCCCTGGGGCGTGTCCCCATTCTGTCCTGCCTCGCCACCAGTGGCTGCGTAGCAATTCACAGTCACCAGTGGATCTTCCCCCGTTCTTCCGCCTTTTGATTTTACTTCCTTTGCCCAGAATAGCATTTCGCTTGTGTATTATTCAGTGACTTATTTTCTTCTTCTAGTGTCTTGAGATAAAATTAATTTTTCAGTATGGAGAATAAGATGTTCTTTATAGTTCTCTGTAGGGAAAAAGATGTGCTTGGGAGTTTGGACATCTAAATTTCAGTCTTGGTCTAACCACTAAATTGATTTTAATTATAATAACTGTTTTGATCTTTTGCAAAAGTGTGGAGGAAGAAGAAACAATGACCATTAAATTCAAATATCTACAACATTCTAAATTTACTTCCAGTGTTTTTCAGTGCAGTACA